GGTAAACCGTTAAACGTAAACCCTACGTAACCTAACCTTTACGTCACTATAAATAATGAGTAGCTCTCCCCACCTCTAACGACACCTCTCTCTCTCTCCCATATACTCTCTCTCTCTCCTCCCTAAGGGCCACACCCCTCTCTCTCCTCTCAGGCTTTCTCCCTCTAACTCTCTCTCTTTCCTAAGACCCATAAGGGCATGCCCCAACCATAGGTCTCATTTTCTCTCTCGCTTGGTCTCATTTTCTCTCTCTTTTGACCTAAAGTTTTAAGGGTTGAGAAAATTAGGGTTCGAGCTTAATTATTTTGGAGTGATGGTTTTGTAGAGATTTAAGGATGGTTCCCTAGTTTGGCCAAAATTAACTTTCTCGGTGCAAGATTGAAGCTAAACCGCTGATCCTGTGCCATTGGATGTGGTGACTCGGTGTGGGGTGTAATAAGCCCGGTTGAGGTAATCTCTGACATCTTCTCTTTTACTTTCTTTTTCTTTTATTTTATATTCTCAGGCATAGTATTAAGTTGTAAAAATGACATCTAGTAGTTGAGTTTTATTTTTATTGTTGTCCTACTTTATTTTGAAATATTTTTTTATTGTAAAAAGATCATCTGTAAGTGATCCTTTTGCCAAAATACAAAATGGATGATTATTATCATTAAAAAAAAATTGTATTCCCTGACAAAAGATCATATAAGGCTAACTTTCAATAAGCCCATGTGGATGTCCAGCCAAAATTAAATTTTTATGTATAAAAAGGGTATTTTCATAAAAAAATGTACAATTTTTTACTAGGGGGTTTCTAGTAAGAAAGTATATTTTTGGATAAAAAATGGGAAAAAAAAGTTTGGTTGAGGGCAAGTTGCATATGAAGTATATTTGTGGGATTCTTTTTGTAATTTTTCAAAAAAACACCTTTTATCTCATCCATTTCCAAAAGTCTTTCCTACCAAAAAAAAATCTCTTCTTAAAGGTAGCCTATTAAAATAGACATTCTCGTAACTAAAATGGTTTCTTTTTCCTTGTAAAAGCTCCCTTGAAATGATTAATAAAACTTCTTTCAATGCTAGCCAGTTCAATTACCTCCACACCCCTAACTTCAATTTTATCAAATCTTGCTCGCTGACCCTTGCTCTGATTTTCCCTCTAACCTTGAGGCATATATCCTCTTTGTACTAGATCCAGCCTTTCCCCATAAGAGCATGTTAAACACGGTTCATGGCAAAATCCTTATTTCCTCTATCATTTATGAGCACATATATGTGCTCCTACGGGGAGTAGATTGTACATCTACTCTCTCGTCTCTATCTACTATTCATTAAAGGATAAAGTTTTTAAGTTTTATGAAAACAAAATAAAGCCTTACTTCAAATACCCATCTAAAAAGAATTTTCGGTAATAGAAATCTCCAAGATGGCTTTAAAATTAATTTCCAACATTGATAGTAATTTTTTTAACTAAAAAAATGCACAGTGAACACTTAAGGGCCGTTTGGATACCCGAAAATATATTGTTTGTGAAATATATTACTGTGTAATACATTACTTGTAAATAGATTGTTATTGTTAGGCTATGTCTAGAAGAAATATAGGAAATGCATTACCAACATTTTACCAGCATGTGCCTATAAACTATCATTTCTTTCTTTTTTGTCACAAAATTCCACTAAAATGCAGAATTATCATTTCTTTTTTTTTTTGTCACAAAATTCTGCTAAAATGCAGAATTATCATTTCTTTCTTTTTTGTCACAAAATTTCACTAAAATATGAAATTAAAATCATCATCACACCATTCCAAAAAGATTTATAATAATAACATCATCACCATTTCAAAAAGATTTTCTAATAATAACATGTACCATTTTACAATCATCATGATACTATTTCCTACTTATTTTACATGCCTTTGGCACTTACATAGAAGCACATGTCTTCTACCATGACATTGGTTTCAACATGAGAAATCATTGGAACAATATGATTGGAATAACTTGATTTTATTATGATAAGCCTTATTTTTATTTATTTTTTATAGAAGTCTTTCAAATATCTCTTTATATAATTTCAAATAAACAATAAATTTATGATACTAAATTCAAAATCTCTATGGTACAAGGGAACAAGTTTGATAAATAAACCCGAAGGTTTGGTAATTGCAGTATAAAATTTGGAGGTATTGGAGGAGGCTAAAGAGATATGTTATTAATGTCTTTATGAGAATTATGTTGTGTGAAATTTTTTATTATGATTGTGTTGTGTAATTTATCATTGATTACTGATTTTTATTTTTATTATTTTTATATGATAACTGATCTCTTAAGATAAGGGGACGAGTTTAAAAAGGGAGGAATTACCTATGCGAGAGTAATAGATTTTTTATCTATTATCGCGTCGTAATGGATTTTTTGATTTTTGGGGAAATTTGATGTAATCTATTTCTATATCTTTACGATTAAGTGTACGCAAACAGAAGAAATGCCATATTTCTTTACAATCTATTGTCACGTAATAGATTTTCAGATACCCAAACGGCCTTTTATTTATTTTTTGTTCTAAATGGATGGTCTAGATAATTTGTTACCATATATAATATTTTTAACACTTGAAATCTTAATTTTTTACGATTATATTATTCAAGCCGAGTTCATCAATATAAAGGTTTTCCAATGTTAAAATTAGGATGCGTTATGAGCTTACTTACTTTGATAGGACCGCAGCCCTGTCAAACCATTTGCCTTTTTAAATGTTCTTTTGCTCGAGGGTGCAGTTTTACAGCGTAAGTTCCTGGCGGGAGCATTGCTCATTTGCCCTGCTCTGAATACAAGTTTAGATAGAGAGAGAGAGCGCGCGCGTGAGGGTGTGAGGGTCACCAATGGCCTGTGCGTTGCGGCTCCAGGCGTCACCCTTCCTGCGAACCCTGCTCTCATTCCTATGTCCAACACCAAAACCCCATACATGTTATCGCCTTAACCGGAACCCTAATTTCTCTCTCTTGTTGCGCACTCGTTCCACCTTTGCAACTCCCATGACTCCTGTAATGCAGGCCAGAAGAGAATTTTGTTTGGAAGAGGACGGAATCGCTACACGTTAGTTTAATTTCCAATCTCTATTTGTTTACTACTCTTTAATAAATCCTGTGTTACTTTCTTGAATTTTGGTTTTGAATCCTCTAGCCACTAATATTTCTCTTTTATATTCGAACTTTGGATTGAAATTTAGTTATACTTAAAGGCTGCACCATTTAATTATCAGCTAACTATTCTATTGACTAGTGTTTATACGACATAATTTTAGTGGAAACGATTAATTGCATTTTTAATTGTTGAACTATGCTTGTTGATGAAGTAGTAATATGATGCTCTTAACAAATCATTAATTCTTACCAAAATCTACAAGTTAATTTCAGGTTCTCTTAATTTTGTTTCATTTAAGTTCCTTTTTGTTATCATGCTTTCCCGTGCCCAGATGTTTCTTTGACTACCTATCAGGTGAAAGATACTCTGTAAGATTGGGAATTATCATGTAAACTGATCAATTTTTTATTTTCTTAGCTGCTGATTTGAGTTATGAGGCTCCCTTGAAAATTGTTGAGTATCCTGATCCAAGACTCAGAGTAAGAAACAAGCGTGTCAGTGTATTCGATGAGAATCTCAAGGAATTAGTTGCTGAGATGTTTGATGTTATGTACAAGTGAGTTTTCCATTACCATTTATAAGTATTTATCTTGATTTTTGCTGGCTGATCACTAGGAAGATTTGCCAGGCACAGTTTGTTTCTTGTACTTATGTGCAAATTGCAATGTTATAATCGATTTCCGTAGTCCATTACATTAGTTGAACCTCTATATGGGCATATGAATATGGTACAGGTTATGGGGGGGGACTAGAGCCATGGGGTTATGTCTAAGTTTAGTGAATACTTTTCCATGAATAGAAAGTTTGCAAGATCGAGGGGGTTATTGAACAATTTCTCTTTTCTTTTGCGATGGGTTATTAAAAAAATTCTTTGGCCACATACTCACACAAACAAGAAGAAGATGGAATAAAAGTCCCAACCACACGCACAATACATTTTTTACTAGACAGAAAATGCACATAAAAATATAAAATCCTAAAATGCTCTATATTTAGCAAATTAACTTTTATATTTTCAATTTTATGTGTTAAATTTTATGTGTTAATCAGAATTGATAGCAATGTTAATCTAACTTGACTTCTCACCCTGTGTAGGCAGTGGCCAGTTCAAACTGGTCAGACTCGCCTGTTGATCAAATAGATTGGTCTGGAAAATATATTAGAAAAAGAAAATCAGAAACTTGTTAAAACCACTATGAATCAGTCGGCGCAACTGGTCGAATTGGTTGACCCCCACAGTTCAGTGATCAGACTGGTTCCTGGTGCACGTGGTTGGACCAGCCAGTCCAGCTAGGTCTTAAAATTGATTTATACCTGTGGTTTTTAACCTGAGGTTGTTTTTCTTACCTTTTCATGCTTGAAAACAATTAAACTCAAAACCTTTTGAACATTCTTCTTTTTGTTGTCCTACTTCTTAGTTATCTATCTAAACACATTACAAGATCTATTGAATGCTTGATTTACATGAATAAATAGCTTATTCAGTACCCAACTGACTTCAGTCAAATGGTTACCACTTATTTGAATCACTCTGAGAAAATCCATGTGCGGTGTTATCAGAAGTAAGGGGAAAGAACATTATTTCCCTCCTTTTGGTGTTATTTGGCTTGTTTATGGACTGTATGCAAATGTTGCTGATGTTTCCAAATGTGACTGTATTTTTAACTTATTTCAATTTGTGGCACCTGTCAAGTTTATGCTGCTTGCTTCTGTCTAGGTTGATTTTCTTTTTGTTCACATTCTTGGTCTTGAAATCATTCCAAACTCAAAAGTGAAGTAAGCTCTCCTAATTATTTTTTTAGGTCTACATAATTTGTATTATTATAAGAGAACTCTAGGTGAAATAATTTTTGAAGCAATGGAGTTCCTCTACCATCCTTTAGCTTGGATACCTATAAGGTTAAACCTTATTGTCTTTAAGCATTGAACTGGTCCAGAAATAAACTAGTTGACATTGGACTATAAACCGGTGTTGTTCAATATACAAGCAGATTGGTTATTATAAAGCAATATAATTACTCTTTTTTGTTAAGGAAACAATTTCCCCTTACGGTGGTGCTATAAATGTTTTTGTTGACCGTAGTGATTTGATTTGCTCTAGAGCACTTGGGACAATTGGAAGGTCAAGCGGCATTGTCTAACTTACATCCTGTTGATATCTAAGTTTCTATTTTATCATTTGGAAGAACAAGTTTCTGTGTAACATTTACTTAAAACAAAAGAAAATCTGAGTAGCAATAAAAAACAATTATTCGTAAACATTGTTTTTTTTTGTGAAGTTGTTAATTGGTTGCAAGCATTGTTTATTGTGCAGAACTGATGGCATTGGGCTATCAGCACCCCAAGTGGGAATCAATGTTCAATTAATGGTTTTCAATCCTGCTGGAGAACGTGGAGAAGGAGAGGAGCTGGTCCTTATTAACCCGAAAGTTTACAAATATTCAAAAAAGTTGGTCCTGTTTGATGAGGGATGCTTATCATTTCCTGGGATTTATGCAGATGTAGAGGTGATGGTTAAGATGCAAAACCCTGTACTAGATGAAGCTGCAATTTTGCAATATATGTTGTGGCTTAATTGTGGCCATTCTGTGTATGTGTCACTTGTTTCAATTTATATTCTTTGCAGGGCCACTTTTTGTCACAGTGTTCTTGATATACTTTTTTTTCAGTACATGAAATACAATTGAATTTTGGTGACCTTATTGTGATTGTATCTTAAAATTACACATCTTCTCATTATAAAAAAAAATTGCACTTCTATGATGCCGAATGATATGGGAGTTCCTGTTTCCACAAAATATACTCTTGCACCTGTTGTTCTGCTGAGCTTTCTAATACATACTCAGAAGTGGGACTTGTTTATTCTCTCTTTTGATGAGCTCATAATAGGATATTTGAGGTAATTGTCATGCAACAAGATACTAGGGGTGGTATACTAAGAATTTCAAGTTTATTTTTTACTACATCAAATGTCTTTGTTAGTGATGTAGGATTCTACATGTTGTTACATGCTCTCTCAGAACATAAGGAGGTCAAATTGAGAGTCTGAAACTTTCCAGTTTCAGGTTGTACATGGAGTATAGAAACACATGGTATATATCCTCAGGCCTACATTTTTATAAACTATGCATTCTCCAGAAAGTGTCCCTAGAATGTGTTTGCTTGACACTTGGCTACTAGAATAATCATAAGGGTAATATATTAGTTATTTTCGAGGAACCTAATGAGTACTTAAAAATATCTGTAGATAGAATGTGGTAAATTTCATGATCCTTTTTATTGGGACGGATTTACAAAATTACTATATTTTCTTTATGAATTTTTGGTAAAAGTTTTACACCTATTGTTTCTGGCATAGTTACTGAAATTTCTCACCCTAGGTGGCAGTTATGCTTCATAATCCTGATTCGGCACTTCCATCTAGGAATATTCATAAAACCCATTTCCATTAAGTTAGGAATCTTGATTCCACATTTACTGAATCTCGTTTCGATTTTTTTAGAATCTAGATTTTCATAGCATCAAATTTATAGGTGCACGGAACCGTGATTCGATCAAGATGGAATCTTGCTTTTGCCTTTTTATAATCTCGATCCAATTTTTATGAAATCAGATACAAAGTAGACATCAAATCAAATAAGTAGTATATTGTGAAATAAATTTGGGGATTCTTACAAAACTTGCTTTTCTACAAGTGTAAGAACTTCCTAACTAATTCTAAAAGAGAATTCGGAAAGTGTATTGGGTTCAGTTCAATTCCCAAAGATTAAACATAGAGCATCAAAAAGACACAAATGAAATCTCATTTTCAAGTATATATATCAAAAACAAATTCTCATTTTCAAGTAGAAACATGATAATAGTTGTATTTTTTTGTTAACATGAACATGACTTCCCTATTGGACTAATGAAACATATTGCTATTTCCAAAATTATTATTATTTAACATATGATCGATGTTTAAGACAACTCCATCATGTTCAATTCCAAGCTGGTCATGCCTAGGGAAGCTAGTGTAAAACTTTACCACATCTTTTCATGAATCCTGAACCTATGTTATATGTTCATGCTAGGCGTTTTCTGTAAGCAATGCGCTGTATCGGAACTTGGTGTAGTAAGAAATAAGAAAGGTTAGCTAACGCGTTTCCTGGAAGCGACACGCTGCAATGACATCTAAATGTTTTAAAATTTAGCCGGATTAAGACGTAATATATTGAATGCAAGTTTGATAATAATAGGAGTTTAAACGAGGAAGTAGTTAAGATTGACGGCCAAGAAATACCTAAAGGAGATTATTTTTGATATATTGAGTCGATAGTCCAGGAGAATGGAGAGGTCGAGAAAGATGCCATGCATAGAATTAGAGTTGGGTGAGCGAAGTGGAGATCTGCATCAGAAGTTTTATGTGATTTGCTGCATACTTAATGAAACTAAAAGGGAAGTTTTATAGGACGGTTGTAAGAAGAGCCATGCTTTATGGGCGGAATGTTGGGCCGTCAAGAAACAATATATTCATTGGATTAGTGTAACTGGGAAGATGGGTGAGTAGCAAGACAAACAAGGATAAAATTCGAAATACATACGAGGGAACTTAGGGGTGGTTCCAATAGGTGATAAGATGAGGGAAAATAGACAGGTGGGCTAGCCATGTGCAGCGTAGATCTAATACAATACCAGTTAGGAAGGGTGATTTGGTTCAAGTGGAAGGTTCTGAAAGGGTAAGGGGAAGGCCCAAAGGGCATGGATGGAAGCGGTGAGAAGAGATATGGTGACTTACAGCTTGGCTGAGGGGTATCGACCTTGAAAGTGTAGAATGGTGGACATGATTCCTGTAATCAACCCCAAATAATTAGGATAAGGCTCAGATAATGATGACGACGATGATGACGATGATGATCAATGTCTAGAATCTATGGGTGTTGTGACCTATACTTAATATCATTCCTAAATTTTGAGAACTCAAAATAAATATCTTGTTTTTTTAAACTTCATTATTGACAAATCAAATATTTTTACCTCAGAAGGTCATTCAATACATTGATTTCAATACTAGGGGAGCCCTTATTCAGTTATTTATGACCATGGAGGATCTTGAATCCAATACTAGGGAAACCTGGCGAAGTGTACTGAATACATCAATTCCAATACTATGGGATTCTTGATTAAGAATACTCTAGAACCTAGAACCTTTGGCCTTATGAAACGCGGTTCCTATTGTTCTTTGTCGCAATTCCAAGTAGTTAGGTGTGTGATTCCATGAAAGTAGGGATCTTGATTCCAATTGGGTAGAAACTCGATTCCAAAAATTCATGAATATCAATTCCGATTGGGTTGGTGTCCGATTCTGAAGAGGTGTGAAGCTCAATTCCATTTGGGTTGGAGCGTAATTCCGGAAAATTAGGAATCTTTAATTCAGTGGGGAAGACAGGCCCCTACCCGATTTTTCAATAGATTAGGGAGTTACATTTTGAAGGTGTTAATTGGGGTTTTCAATGGTAGGAATGGATACCATGATGTGGTGACTGAGTGTGGGGATGCTACCACCACGACCCCAAGAATCTCGATTCTTGCAATGCATATTGTATGGACTGCGATTCCAACAATAGGAGTCTTCTAGCCGCCAGTGATTCTACTCTTCCATTCCTAATTTGATTTCAAATCTCAACCATTTCTAGCAACTATGGTTTCTGGTGTGTTTTCGGATACAAACATATAAACATGTGTATGTCAGTCCTTGAAGTATTCATATTGATGTTTAAAATATCCACCTGTATGCTTAATGCATACATGCAAGAAATGTGTGCCTCGTAATGAGACCGACTTGTGTCTCCATGTGTTCCTTCGTATTAGGCTTGAGTAGTCATCTAAAATCCTCGAGGGGACCCATGTGAGGAATATTTTAAGATTCATTTTCGATTCAATCAGGTTTCAAAGGATCTTCTACTACCACAATACCAAGTGATATTGCTGTAGTTACCAAATACATCAAGATGGGGTTAAAAGTGTGACATAGAGCACAACTACTAGTTCATGTCCCAATTGGAAAGTGGATACCATTTAGTTGTTAGGTTTACAATATTGTCATGTTTTGACTTTTTATTGTTGTTCTTTATTCTTCATTATCATGAGATATTTTAATTTTATATCATAGATATATGTGTATATCAATAGGAGACAAGCTGTAAATTTTATAAATAGCCCTTCAAAGAAGAACGCATCCATTTGGTTATTTTCCCAACCATTTTTGGGGTAACAGTGTTGTCAAAAGACTCAAAACCTTAGTTTTTGTTGGAGAAATATGCTCTTGGAGGCTACTTTTAGATAGGGCTTTGCTCATTTTTAGGACTAGACAAGAATCTGCAACTTATCTTTTATGAAGTTATTTTCCCTTACCTTGAAGAACCATGTAATGTGGAATATGTGGTGGATAAACATCCTGTGCAACATTTCATATACCCGCTGATACCACTATCAATTTCTTTAGGATTAGACATGCTACCATCTTCCTCATAAGGTATGAAGCATGTTACCATCTTCATCTTAAGGTTGAAGATGAGTGTGTATGCTGAAGGCCAATCCCGAACCCAATTAGTTGGATATGGGGAATCAACCATAAAATCTTGTAAGAGAACACCCTAACTTTCCTACGAGCCCTAACCGCCGTATATCCTAGCTTCCTCAAGATTACTTAGGTCCTAGTTTCCTACTTCATCATCGTAGTGTCCTTCAAGCCTAAGTAAATGCCACGTGTATAAGCGTACGGGACCTTGGTGACCACGTGTGTATAGACATTTGTTATCATGGTGACCACATGTCATCATAGTGACCATGTCTATAGACGTGTCATAATGGTGACCATGTCTATAGACGTGTCATAATGGTGACCATGTATATAGACGTGTCATCATGGTGATCAATGGTGCCCCCTAGGTAGGCACCGTGTATTGAGATGCTGCGGAGTATTTCTTTTGGGACAGTGGATGGGTTGGATATTGATGTGGTTTAGGTTTTCGTTTTTATTTTCTTTTACGTAGTTAGGGTTTTTTAGGAAGAAACAATGGAGTTTGGTCTTTAGATTTTGTAAAGATTTTAACAATATTTGGGTCATTTACTATTCTAGATATATTAAGGGCAATGGTGTTGTTTTATTTTGTTGTAGAGAATTGAGGGGTGGAATTGGAAATGAATTTTTAGAGGATGAAGAGTGAGGATTTAATGAAGATTAGGGTTTCTTATGGTGCAAGTAACTTTCTAAAATTTATACTAATATGTAAGTGTTCTATAGAAAAAAAGGAGAGAAGGAGAATTGAGTTTGGTCTTGAGAAAATCCTTTTGAGTTGACTCCCTTACGAACCCAAAGAGAGGGTATATTCTCTTACATTTGTTACTTTATTCTTATTTTTTTTGGTTTAGTTTATATCTCTCTCCCTCTTCCCTACATCAAATGGTACGAGTCTTGAGATCTGTACCGCATTACACTATAAACAACATCTCATCATCATCATCA